CACAAACCTGGCACTTAGGAGGGAATCTATTAAGCCTTCTTTCTATGAGTGCTAGCTTTATAAGTAAACCGAGTTGCACAACGTTTTAACATATGAACAATATTAACACAGAAGGATTATATAAATCCCAGTCTGTCACAGAACCTATGCTCACAGTACAGAAATATATTGTTATCTTTTTATAATAGATATAGGTGTCTTGACAGAGAGAAAAAAAAGTTAACGCTGTGGCTAAGGACAGACATTCAAAAAGCTTGAGCCTGAATTGATTCAATCTTTGCAGGTTAGTCTGACCTGGCTAGGTTGAACTGGTTTATACAGACATCCCAGAAATGCAGGCACATGCCTGCAGTGGCTCAGGCTACAAACTAGGGGACACCTGAGCAGTCCTCCCATCCCTTCCACAGTACTGAACTGGGGGGGGAAGACGGGGACGGGCGTGACCTGACGCCAGCAGGATGCTCTGATTAGCCTAGCAGGGAATTGATAACAGTGTTTATCACCCCTAACATAGTGTTTATCATCCCATTAAGAAAACAACAGAGGGACATTACCAGCTACCTGCTGATTCTGCCTGTTGGTAGCCAGCATGTGGTCTGCTAGCTAATATACAGAAACCTCCTCAGCAAGGCAGAGGGGAGGGGGGAATTCCTGCGTAGCAGGGGGCGGGGGGGGGGGGGGGGGGGGGGGGAAGCGGCCCCCAGTCTGTGCTGGAGCTGCAGCCAAGGAGCAGAGGGGAGGGGGAGGCTTGTTGTGGAGCAGAGAACCCTGCCCAGCCCAGAGAGCACGTCAGGATGCTGGGGGAGTCTGGTTCATCTTAAACCAGCAAGGGGTCTAAGGTAGACATTGCATAAACCAGTTTGAGCCAAATCAGTTAAGACTGATACTACATTCAACCAGGTTTATCTCGAACTGGCTTCAGCTATTTTCAAACTGGTTTATGTGCACTGAACATCTGTTCTATTACACATTTAAGCCAGTTTCTGATCACTTATACCAGTTTGTGTGTAATGTCTGTCCCTAGCCTGCAGGTTTGGCCTGCTGACTTTGAAGGGATGTCAAAGAAGATGTTAGTAAGACTGCCAGGCATCTCAGGAAGCAGATCCAGAATTTACAAGCTACATTGCTATTTTCCACCATCAAAAATCTTTAGGAGTAGCAGGATTTCTAGAATTTCTTGAACTGAAAGTGTTCCATTATAGTGATATCAATATAGGAAGATACCACAAGAAAACCATCGAAGAAACTGTATACAGTTCTCATAGTTTCATAGTTTCAGGGTCGGAAGGGACCTAATAGATCTTCTAGCCCGACCCCCCGCCAGGGCGGGAGAACAACCCCAAAAAAAAAACAAAAACAATCAAACAAAACCACTCACCCTAAAAACAAAAATGGGACTCAAATGAGTCCAGCCAGGTAAGTATCCAGCCTCTTCTTGAAGATCCCCAGGGTAGGGGCCAGCACCACCTCCCTTGGAAGTTGGTTCCAGCTCCTAGCCGCCCTGACTGTGAAGTAGTTTTTTCGGATGTCCAATCTGTACCTCCTCTCCATCAACTTGTGCCCATTATTCCTTGTTATGCCAGCAGGGGGTGGGGGAAACAGCGTCTCCCCCAAACCCTTCTGGTTCCCCCTAGTGAGTTTATAGACGGTCACCAGGTCCCCCCTCAGCCTTCTCTTGTGGAGGCTGAATAGGTTCAAGTCCCGCAGTCTCTCACTGTAGGGTCTGCCCTGTTGTCCCCGGATCATGCGGGGGGCCCTCCTCTGGACCCTCTCCATGTTGTCCACATCCCTCCTGAAATGGGGCGCACAGAACTGGACACAATACTCCAGCTGCGGCCTGACCAGCGTCGCAGAGAGGGGGAGGATCACCTCCCTGGCTCTACTCGAGATGCACCTGTGGAGCATCTCAACTGCTTTGAGTTTAAAGTGTGGCACTGAATTAAAAACAGTAGAGAGTCTTTTCTTTTAAAAAAAATGTGAACTGATATACAAACTGACAGAGCAAAATAACCGATTTTAGCTAGAATTTGATAGTTATAGGACTCCAGATGAATAATTAGAGACAGACCCATAATTTAAGAAGGGATTATTCACAATAGATATATGCTGTATCTGCTCCATCCCACTGCACCAAGCTCTTCTTCAGTCTATGGAATATCATACAATTTAATAAAACAGAGCAGAAAAATCTTGAAGTAAGGCCTGGAAAAGGCTTCAAATTTAAGTTTGTTAAAATATCAAAATATACCTCAGTACTGCAGCATGATCACAGCTCAAATATCCCTTTACATTAAAAACTGTGCACCAAGGAAGTAGAACACAGACACCTTATGACAAAATCCCTGCTGCATATGGGAGAGACTATCAAGTCTCAAACATTGTCTAGTAGCTAAACAACACGAAACTTGTACCCTCTAGCCATCCTAAAGGTAAATTCTAGGTAGGACAGAAGGTAACTAAAGCAAACCAAGGATAATTCCTTCTCTCCATTTATAAACATCGAGCATGCTAGTAACCATGTTCTGTGTTGGCAAATGTGGTCTGGCTATCCCCCTCTTGCTGAAACACACTGCACCCCCAGAAAAGAAGTTCAGAGGCCAAATTGAAAGCTACCCTTGGATCAGACCTTGGAAAGAGGAGCCACAAAACAAACAAACAAAAAAACCCACAAGCAAATTTGGTGTGATCACAAAGCCATCAAGACACCCCATGTTCACTTGTTGTTCTACTTGCCAAGCTGGTATGGTCTTAGATGCACTTTTTAAATAGAGGGAAATATAACAGTTGCAACTTAATTAAATAGGACTGATCCTTGCCACGTATGTTAAAGCTTCAGAGCTGATAGAGGTCACAAGGCAATGAACTTCAGCTACTTGCCAGCACCTGTGTTTAAAAGCCTCATTCTCTCATAACTGCTTGAGATACTGGCTGCACTATTATTTTCAGAGTTTGCTTATGAAGAAAATATAGGTGTTGTTGGAGTAAGGTACTATTTAATGGTCAAACTTATTAAGCTGTAGTTTTCCAATGTGAGAACTAAATTTTAATAGTGGTTCAACTGCTAGGATAGTCTCTATAGTCCATATTTGGGAGAGACTGCCCTTTATCATTACATCATATGGTTTAAAAACTAAGTTCCAACTCTTATTTTATATAAAGTCAGAAGGACAACAATATTGTTCAAACAGAAGAAACTGTACAGCTACAAAAACTAAGTTTTAACAGCTAAAAAATGACAAAAGCACATGGAATTGAAGAACTATGTCCAAATACTTTTGAATATACAAACAAAAACAAGTTTTTAATGTTTCCTCTGAAGCATGCACACCCATGTTAATCCACGTGAAAATATATCAGAAGTTGACAGTCTAAATTCGCTGACATGAAGATTATTGTTATATATGTGTTGGGTTCTCTCTTCAACTTTCTGATGAAACACAAGTTGAACTGCACACTTGCAAAGTAATTAAATATAGGAGGGTATTACAAAAGATCATGTATAGGTCAAGTACAGTAAGTTGAATTACTTGTAAACCTTCATTTGTGAGCAGGACAGTGACTAGCAGCAGTGGAAAATGGCTCTAATCTTTAAAAAGACACAAGAACCATCAAGCTAAATTAGAAGACTTCTTCAATAATATGCCACTTCTATAGCAATTTAGGATATTAAAGTCAAGATTATCACAGAACAATGCAACAATGGTTTTTATCTTCCAAAATTAACTAACTCTTATAAACAGAGCAAAAAACAAGACAAAGAAAAAAACCAAAAACACACAAAACTTCATATTTGGGCATCTGTTTAAGAGTTCCAGGCAAGCTCTAAACATTGCTCTTAAACATAACAAAGAGTTATAATTATAGGGACTTATATTAATACTTAATTATGGATAACATCACTTATAATTATGTTTAGGGACTTAATTGAACTTAACTTAGTTAGTGAAAGGTATTACCCTTGGTAACTTTTTTGGACCTATAGAAGGCATGAGTAAAAGGCCTGGCTCACTTCTGTGAGTGATAATTAAAAGCATCATAAGATGAGGCAACAATTTAACAGAAAAAAGTGAAAAACCAAACACTTTCTTCAAAGTGGTTGTTTGCACTTTGAAATAATACCATTCAGAGCAGGACTTTAAAAATTTAAAAAATGCAGGCTTTTTTTTTTTTTTTTTTTTTTAATATAAAATTGTGCTACTGCAAGAGCCTTTCGGAATACCTTGTTGGTAAATCCCCTTATAATTGACCTTTAGGAAGAATGAAGATAGGTAGAAAACCAAATATCTGCTTATTTTCTGCGTTCTATCAGGCTCTCCTTTGCTGGGAAAGGCTTTTGTGTGTTTAACCTCATCCAATTTCAGTACCATAAAGGAATGACACAATAAATAAAATTAAATGCAGAACACTATCTTAAATATCTCAACCTTAACATTACATTAAATCACTAATAACTTTTATAATTACATAACCTTTGAGTTCCCATTTAACTCAGCCACACTGCATATGTTCAGCATCAAAAAGCAAAATTCATCCATAGAAGGTCTTTTTGGACTAGGGCTTAATTGACATAATGAGGAGCACAGTTTGTCTCGGGTCCTGAACTGAACAATCCAGTCATGGCCAGTCTGAAACTTTATTAATAATATACAATATTTGAATATTATTGTAAAGACAAAAATCTAGGCAGACAAGTAGAAGCAACATAGACCAATCCAAGTCTCCTAATCCTTATACTTCATCCCTCTCACCAAAACCATCTCTTTTGTAAAGAGCAAATTTTTCCAGACTCGGCAGCCAGAAGATGTCTGACTTCCAACCAGGAAGAAATTTCATTATGCAACTACTAGGGTCTCAGTTTTTCCCAAGAACAATTTACAGTAACTAGGAAAATACATTGACAGCTTCTTTTTTTTTTTTTTTTTTTAAATTAAAGAAACACTTTTGTAGTACTGGTATACATAGCATGCAGTGTACCTGAAAATAAACTCTGACTTGCTCACCTTCCATTTGTCCATCTCCTTCAGCCATCACTTTGAGTTTAAATTCGTTTTGTGCATCGTGCTGCATGTTCTCTCTTTGTAGTTTGGTTTGTTGCATAGTATGAGTCTTCCAGAGTTTACGAAGCTCCTCCACTTCTGTCTCTGAATCTCGAGTTCGTTCCCTTACTAGCTTTCCCTTGCTAATTGTCTCTCTCTTTTGACAGTCTATGATATCTTCACAAGGCAGACATTCTTCCCTTTTCTCACTCTCTCCTTTTGGTATGGTGACTAGCATGGTATCCTGATCTGTGCAAACCCTTCCAACTGTGCTATGTTCTTCGCTGTGCAGTGCTCCTTGCAAAGACTGCCAAAGGATGTTTGCAACATTTCCCCCTACATTGTCCTCTCCCTTCATTTCCTTTTCAGCAGTTTCTGAACTTATAATATGGGTACCAAACCTCCTGTCATTTACAGACAGTTCAATACTGGATTTTAAATCACTAGGAACATTAATTGAGTCTGAAACTATGGTTAAACATTCTGCACTAGTTTGATTTATTGTTTGGACAGATTCTGATGAAGCTCCGGAAGATTTGTCTTGTCGAAGCTCATCTGAAGAAACCAGTTCTTCATGTATTGGAGAGAGTTCCGACTCTGTGAATACATCTTCTGAAAGCGACTCCTCTGTGCTTCTAGGGGCAGTGCTGGCACTATCGTTCCCAGTATCTCGAATCCTTGAGTCCATTTCATCTGTATTGCTTCTTGTACTTTTCTTGAAGTGGCAGAGATCCCTGGCAGATAACTGTTCTATCTCTCTGTTAAGCAAACAAAATGAAAGTATAAGTGCTTTTCATGTATTATTTCATAAATGTAGTAAGTAGTAGTTAGTGTTGAAAGGAACTAAGGAAACTTTTAAACAAAACGTAAGCACGTAACATATTGCAAATCATCTTCACATATGATCATAAGATAAACTGTAGGCTGAAGACTCTTACTAGTATAGGAATATGGAGGAAGAAGGGAGATTTCCAACTCCATTAAATTGCTTTATGAAAGAAACTCTTGGGATAGGCTTTATTATATTGGCAGAAAAGCTAGATGGGTAAAAGAACTTTGCTGTTGCAAGCTCCACCTATACTACTAGGAGGTCTGCTACTTTATATTAGACCGGACACATAGCAATGCATCTCTATCTCATATGTTAAGTAGGGTTTCTCAACTGGTGGGACGCGAAGGTCCTCTGGGTCGTGGTGGCGAAACGGGAAGTGCCATGGCACGACTTTGGTTTCGCTTTTGCACGCTTGGATCGGCTGGGGGGGGGGGGCCCCCCCCTCCTCCGTGGCTTCTGGGGGATCCCCTCCCCCCACTCGTCAACCAGTGGGACCAGGATTTTTTTACCTTATGTAGGTGGGACATAAGGTGCAAAATATTGAGAACTGCTCTGTTAAGTGACTTCTCTCTCATCTAAGACATAGTTATATCTATATCTATCTATACAGATATATTCTTTATTATTAATCTAAGATTAAACAGCTTAGAAAATGGACTAGCACAGACAACGACAGAATGAAGTACAGACAAAAAGAGAACACTTATTGGTTCTACTATTTAAAAGAAACAGTCAAATTCTATAGTCACTGAAGTTTATGCCTTCACCTCCTGCCCTCAGCAGCAGCAAAAAACTATACCTCTTTCTACAAAGTGTTTTAAGTAGACTTCATCTGACACTCAGTATACTCAATTCAATTTATACTGACAGCTTAACTTGGACAGCGCAAGATTCAGATCTATTTACTACATCTCCTCTTGAAATCCAAGTTGTTCAATTACTAAAATAGATCAGGATTAAGTTTACTCCTTTCCGTCTCAGATGGGTTACAGGTTAATGTGTTTGGGTTGTTGGTCATATGGATTAGATTCCTTGACTAGTAGTCTTAATGAACCAGTTATTTGATTCTTTAAGTAAATATACTAATAGGAAGTGCTTGAGTAATTTTAAAGCCATTTAAATCTGCATTGCAGTATACATATTGCAACACAGATCTCTTCTAATTATCAGCATATACTTAGTCTTAATTGAATCAAAAACTGCTCTGGTCTCAGGGCTGCTGCATTAGGGCTCTCTGATCAGCCTAAGGCAGGCAAGAAGCTGGTTCAGCTGTAGCGTTTCCTAGTCTGTCCGCCAACCCCTGCTTTCCCCAGAAATAGGGGCACATGTGACAGTTTGACCCACGTGCCCATTTCTGAGAGGAGCATGGGTGCAGGTAGAACTATAGTAAGAGGCAGCTCTTGCCTGCTTTATGCTGCCCAGAGTCCTAATGCACATGCCACAGTCCTTCCTGGGCTGGCTGTGCAGCTGGGGCAGAAAAGTTATCTGGAGTAGCAGCAACTGGCTGAGAAGCACTGAAGGTGAGGCAGCACCTACTTCTCAACTGGGGATGCTTGCACATTCAGAAAAGTGTTGGAGGAGTGCCCCAACTCTGAAACGGCTGAGAACTGGCTTAGACCAGACACCATATTCATGGGCCTGTTAGTGGTTTGGACACATTAGTAGTTTAAGTTATAACACACTTTTAAAACACAGAGCAATATGACAGACAGACTTTCTGGTGGCCAGTTTTTCCCCCCCTTTTCATTTTCTTTTTCATTTATTTAAAAGACATTTTTAAATTCTCCATGCACACATACATGTATCAAGCTTGCATAAAATGCAAGTACCATAAAGCATAAGAATTTTCTCCAGCAGGAGTAGATATAAACATAAAAGCAATCCCAGGTCAGGTAAAATTTGCAAGTTTTTAATTCTGAGGTCAGTTATTAGAAAAAATATAGTTTAGAAAATAATCTACTTTGAAGTATTTTTTGCAGTGTTGCTTATTTTTATAGGGGGAAAAAATCTATTTTGCAGTAAAAATCTGATAACCCAGAAACGGAAATCCTAGAACAATCCTCTGACAACGTATGTCCTCAAACCTTTACAGACATATCACTGTTAAGGCAGTTTTGCTACATATGCCATACCTTGATTCTACTGCCATATGAATATTCAAGGAAAAACCTTAACGGGCCCTGTTTATTCACAATGTCATCCCACAACATAGCTCAAAGACTAGTAACCCAAAAGGATTCATCCAAAATCTTAAAATTAAACAGATAACAATCTGAATGATCATTCTGTGCATCTGGGCTCTGGCTGCATGACACAGGGGCTGTTTCTAACCATGCCCTACATATCAGGCACCATGTACAGCATAAACAAAAAAAGTTCCTTGGGAAGAGAGAATTTTTATTTTATTTTTTTTTAAAAGACATCATAAATGGAAAGCAGCACAAGCCAAACAAGTGGTCATGTTAATTTGAAGTGACCTTATCTGTTCTTGTGATTCTAGTGTAATATTTGACACATTGTCTCAGAAATTAATTTATAAATTAATTCAAATGAGTTTGGATATTAGTCACGTGAATTCAGTTACAGGTCAGAAAGCTACAGGAAAGGTCACTGTTTTATTTCTTTTTAATGTAATTTTATCTTCAGTAAACTAGAAAAAGGTTAGGAAGCATGTTAGTGAGAATCATTTTTACATTTAAATTCTGAGATAATGCAAAAGGCTGAAGAACTACTAATATGACTGAGAAAATGGGTAGAAAGATGAAATGCAGCATGTTCTGGAAAAAAGTCTCTTATTTCAAGAGAAGGGAACTTAAAAAAATAAAATAAAAAAACCCAGCAACACTGATGGAACTCAGTGACAGAAATTCAAAATATGGTAAAATGAGGTCCCATGCAATTTTGGGCAGCAAATGAAACAACACACAGTCAATCTATTGTGGCCCTGGTGACAAGCACATGAAATAACATCTTAAGTTCTAGACTAGGGTTGTCCAACTGCCAGCTTGAGAGTGGTTAACATGTGGCCCTCAGACCTCTGTGGCCACCTCTCCTGCTACTCCACAGCAGTGAAGGGCCCAGGTGTCCGCATGCCACCAGCACAGCCCATTGTGGGGAGATAAGGGAGCCATGCACTGCTGGCACAACCCATGCAGCAGGGAGAAACCTAGGGGAGCCACCCCTGCTGTATGCAGCCAAGGGGCTACACGCCAGCAACACATGTGGCTTCCAAGGTTGGATAGCCGTGTGGTAGGTAATTCTTAAAAGAGATCTGGAGAGTATATGGGATGATATTGTTAGGTAAAAAGCTTGTTAAAAGTTCTCTCTGGGGCATTTTTTCAAGTCAGCAAATTGCTTTTTAACCTGACCTACAACACAAACTAGTGAAGAGGCAGCATTAGGACACTTAAAGTTATTTAACCTCCTGTATATAAATTTTCTTCAGTGAATGCAGAACATAAGGCTTCCTGTGTTGCACTCCAGTATGCCCTCGATACTTCAGGATACCATGGTATCCTGCAATATGTTTATACCCTTACGTGACTTTGACTGATAAAGGTAACATGGTTTTACAAAGTTCTAACTTGTTTTTCCATTAAATAATTAAGTCATATGTGCTCCATTTCTGATGAAAGAATATGAACTGGAGAACTTATGGAATAGTATGAAATGGCAGAAATAAACCTAACCAGACTGAGAAGAAAGGATTTTTGGTCACCATTTAAAGCAGGGGCATGCAATTATTCCAGGCAGAGGGACACTTACTGAGTTTTGGCAAGCCATTGAGGGCTGCAGGACAGGCAGCCAGGGACAGAGTAATATTAATTTTCTAAAATTTTTAGGGGCCCCGCGGGCCAGATAGAATGGCCTGGTAGGCCGCATCTGGCCCGCAGGCCACATTTTGCCCACCCCTGATTTAAAGCCAATTTTTAAAAATGCATATTACATCCTGAACAGTTGGGTGGAAGCCTCCTTACTTAAAGCTTCAAACACCCTTTTAACTCAAACTCCCTCTCTCTCAAATAAGCTAAGTTCAGAAAGAACCCATTGTATTTCTCCAGTAAAAGAAGGCAAAGCAAATACAATTTCAACAGAATTTTAAACCTGCTTTAGACACAAATTGCCCAGGTTTGGTTAGGTAGAGAAAAAGCAGAAGGAGACACGTTTTCTCTTATTAGGAGTACACTGTGAAAAATAAATTATGAAGATTTCTATCTGAAACTATTTAAGAAAGTCAGGCTATTTCAAAAGTTTGCTTGTATTTTTAAACTGTTTTTGTTAAAAAGTTAGTTTGTTCGGAGTTGCAACAGCTTTCCTATTTTAAGTACGAAGCAATTGTTTTAGAAGCTACATTTATAAATGAAGACCACTGCAATGACAGAGGAGGACACAGGGAACCTAAAATTCTTTTTTAAATATACATCCCATATCAAGAGTGGGAGGAAAAAAAAAAAAAAAAGAGAGAAGGCCTCCGGATTTTTCCAGGTTTCTCCATATAGATCTTGGATACTCCTCTTAAAAAACGTTTGTCCTAATTTACTCTAATTATCAATGCATTTCTAATAACACTTTTTGCAAAAAGTTTTATCAATGCTAATCTCTTACATGGGTAATGAATCCTTTATTTTGCTGTCCATTATTTCTTTATATAATGCTGCTGACATCACTTCTTCCATTGGACACATTATGCCATACTCTTCACAGCCGTTCTCTTGGACCAGAGGATCCGTTTTATGGGGATCGAACATTATATTATTTGGTGTCACTAGTAGCACACCATTCACTGTACCCTAAAATGAGAGGGAGAAAACAAGTGGTGAAGTTTTCCTGCATGTTTGAGGAAAGAAAAGAACTACTTTGATCAGCTTTTTCATGAGAAATAGCTTATTTTCAAGGTTTTATCCAAACTAATGCAACCGTTGCTACTGCCTACCTAACAGCACTACAGATGAACTATGAAAGATACCTACGGAAAAAAGATACCTTGTATCTTCAAGCAGACACGTATCACCAGTGCCACTTTTCATGGACAGAAACTCAAATCTGTCCTCTCTTGTGCTGCAAACTAACGGGGCTAAACCTTCTTATAGTGTTTGGGAATTGGACAGAGCAGGCTGAGCCAGCCTCCTGGAATGGGGAAATAATCCAGATAATTGTAAGAACCCTAGCAATCCTGAACAGAATCTTCAGACAGTGTTTCAAAGATCTGCTACTCTACTCATTTTAAACTCTTCAATTCGGAGAGAAGCCACAGAGTAGTAATTAATATCAACCATTTCCCTGCTTCCCTTTTAAAATGAGACTAGCAAACTGCCTGTCAAGAATGATGGAGGGGAGGGGGGCGACAGACAGGGACAGAGCCCCATGTCCAACCCCGCTCATCTGAGCCCACTCTCCCCTTTCTCCCCCTCTGTTTTGGGGTATGGCCCTACTCCCTCCTTCCCCCGCTGTGTCAGGCCCGGGCCTGCTCCTCCCCTGAATCGGTTCAGGTCCTCTCCCCCACCCCGCACCAGCGCGCTCAGATTCATAGATTCTATGGTCAGAAGGGACCTCAGTGGGCGGCCCCCCCCGCCACCGGGTCCTCCTCCCTTCCCTCTCCCCCCCGTTGCGTTGAGCCTGGGGCTGGTCCCCCCCTTCTCCTGCACTGCTTGGGGTCCCAGGTCACTCCGCCCACCACCGCCTCCAAGGAGAGGGTGGGACCAACACCAGAGGTGGTGGCCTTGCCCTCCCCCCCACTCCATTGCCTGTCATGGTGGCACTGTCCCTGTTTGTCACACTTTGGGTGTCTGGCAGCCAGTCAGTGCAAATAATCAGAGAGTGTGAATAAAGTGTTACGGACAGACAGACAGACAGACAGACTATGGCTTTACTCACACACACACACGGCATGTCTGAAGTAAATCTAATCTCAACTAGTCACAGAACCTGTCACACAAAGCAATATAGTAAAAGTTGCCATTTATGGAACTTACACTTAAAAAAAATGTTTTTTTTAAACAAATACAACATATTTTCATCCACATTGACTAAAGTTAACTTAAAATACTATGCCAATATCGCTTTGGTTCAGTCTATAGAAGAGATATTTTGTCTTTTTACATTTTTAAATTGCATTGAAGCTAAATAATCTAAAGCTATTGGGTGTTTATACACATGCTTTGGGGCAGGGGGGGTGGGGAACAACAGACATGAGCACCCAGAGTGTCTTATGATTAGTGCCAGCACCCAGAATGTCGTAATTTAAGTGCCAGCACCTGGAGTTTCTCATGATGAGTTGTCCCACACTGAAAAATGACAGAGGGGGCACTTTAATTAAAGCTTAACAAGCTTTAGTTAAAGTGCCCCTGCCACCATTTTTCAGTGTGGGGATGTTAATACATGAGATGCTGGAGTTTGCTGGAACACAGAAATGACCACGCTCCAGCAGACTTATTTAAATCGAGTCTGCTCTGATGTGCTGTAATGAAAGCAGCCTTGCTACATGTGTATAGACGTCCATTGGTATTAGTTACAAATGCAATTTTGAATAATAGTGACTGGATGCTAGTTAGTTGATCCATTCTGAGGTTTTTGCTAAGACTGAGGTTAATAAGCATACTTTTGATAGACTGTGACATGCTGACTCCTTTAAAAAGGAATTGGAAATACAGATATGAAAGTCATCAAAAAAAGTGTCCTATTTATTAATGCATAATTGGTTACACCAGTAGAAGCGCCAGGAAAACTGAGGGTCTATGGAACGTTACTTAAACTGGGAAAAATGTAACCTTAAGTAGAATTAAAACTGGCTTATGTTTATAATTTTTTTTTTTTTTTTTTTTTTTTTTTTTTTTTTTTTTTTTTTTTTACAGATTTTAAAAAGACACTTCCTACTATTGACACCATTTGTATAGATTTCCCATGGGCATTTCAGAAATAGATTAGTTTTACCTCCTAAAATTACAATGGGGAAATTCAGGAAGTGCAACAGTGCCTTTGAAAAGTATATATCAACAATACTTTAAGTGACTATACTTCAAAGCTGTCAATGCCCTTTTATTAGCTCGTGGGCAAAATGTGTTCAGAAACTATGACATTTTACTACAGAAATAGGTAGAACATAAATTATACAACATAAAAAAAAGACTCTTAGGGCACCAATTCTAATACCACTGCTCTCCTTGACAGCTTCAATGGTGTTATGGTAAGAGTTTACTTTGTCTAGAAAGTAGTACTCCAACTGCTACATCATAAGTCTCCATACAGAATTTTGCAGACAGACCTCCATTCAGAATTATATACATATAATTATATATGAAAAGTATGGCATTAAAACACACTATGTACGTTTGGCATTAAAACAAAAAGTAACGCTGATTTTAGTTCATGCAAGATCAGCAGCAGAAAGGACACCAACTGAATTGTATTGATAATAACTGGAAATGTGAGCTGGAAAAAGTTCTACTAAGCACTACACAGTCTACCCAGATCTGGATTTTTGCTAGTGATGTAAAGTGGAAGGGAGGAGGAAATGAGGGAGGACACAACATACAGAAGAAACAAGCCTATTTAATAAAGTATAAGGCATTTTCACAGCTCACACCAACATATTTTAGTTAAAAAGTCATTACCTGCTAAGCTCTGTCTAAACATAAAGACCTCTACCGAGAAACAGCGTCCACCAAACAACAATATTCCCAAGGATGTATGTGGGTACACCTACTGCTTTGAAACGAAAATGTAACTAATTTAAAAAGTTACATCTCCTTGTAATGAAAAAAAAAGCCTTCAATATAAAACCATAACCACTTACAGAATATGTAAATGCCACAAAAGACCATTATGTATAGCATGCCAGAAAACTGAAGCCAAACTACAGATTAGAGACAGGGCATATTCATTATTACAAGGTTGTAATGTTCCAAGTGGTATACACAAATTTTAAATTTAGACCAGTGTTACTACAGACTACTCAATTTGTCTAAGACAATAAAAGCCGTCTTAGAACTTCTACATAGGAGTAATTACCTGAATGGCAGCTGAATGCAATAGTAAGAGACAGCCCTCCCTAAAACAGAAACCTTAAAACATCCAGTGATGTATTACTCCTTTCTGGCTTCAAATAGCAAAAAGCCTCAAATACGTAAGATTCTTCATTGTAAAAAGACTCAAATGGGTAAGATTATAGAGCACCACTGAAAACAAATTGTGAAATGAATTGAGGGGGATTTAAGAAGAAGAGAAAACTAAAATTCAAGCCCATCTAGCACACTTTAGGGATGTCAGTATAATTTAAAGTCCTCCACCAACATGCCTCATTTGATCTTCTTCAGAGTAATTAACATGGCTAGGAACAGTGAGACTACCTGACTTCTCAAGCATAAATATCTTGGTGGCTGACACTGGAACATCAAAGAATCATTGGTGAAATCACAGCAAAAAATCTCCCCCCCAGGACTGGGTCTCATCGCTGCTTGTCCTTTCTTTATGTTGCTTTTTCTTACTATATCAAGGACAAGTAGTGTTCAAGCATTTTATGTGCTCATACTTTTAAAAAAAGCGATTTCTTCAGGGATTATTTGCCATCCTAACTGTTACTGCCTATATCGTCAAACTGCAAAATGCCTACTTTTACTTAAAAAGGAAGAGACATGACATGCCTTCAGTTATAGTTACAGACACTTAAAAACAAGGTCTTCAACATTTGGGTACAAGAAAGTCACTCTGCTAGTTTTTGTCATAACAGTGAAAACAAACAAAAATACAAACACTAAATTTACTTGCATAAATCACAGGATAAAAATGCACTGTAAGGATCACCTAGTCCAGGGGTGGCCAACCCATGCTACACATACCCTAAGTGGCATGGGCAGCCTGTGTGTGGCATGTGGTAGAACAGGGAGGGAGCAGGGAACACAGTGGCATGGAGCAGAAATCAGTGACAGATGAGGCAGAGGAAGGGAGCTAAAGTGGCACTTGCAGGGAGGCATAGCACTTATCTTGTGACACCTGCTCAAAAGCTTGGCCCCCAGTGATCTAGTTCAATCACTTGCAAGCAAAATAACATCAAAGTCATGGCTGGCGAGAGACTGGAGGTGAGGTGGGGGGCCAGGAAAGAGCTGGCAGGCAGGCTGTGCTGGTAGACCCCCTCCAAAGGTGCCACATTATGAAAACAAATTTGCTGGTGAAGACTAAATTTAACTTGAATGAAGTCTAAGCAGTCATGGATATCTCAATAGATGACACTGTCCTTATTCGGTTGAGACAAAATTTCTAATCCACACTAAAAAGGTTGCCCTATGATACTCAGATTTTCTCCATAGTTTTCAGGGTGCATGCATGTAAACAGCTACATTTATGACTCAATCAACATGTCCAACTGATGGTACTAGACATATATACCATGACCACCAGTGTTCAAGCAGTACATGGGACAGTTTACTCTTGCTGTCAGTGGGGAAGAAAAGTTTACACTGATATGATGATTCAGTTTCCATACATTTTCAAGCCTATGCTTCTCTTGAGAGTACCAATAAGGAGGTTATCAACTGTGCTGGGGGCTGTGATGTTGAAGACCTGTAAGTCTTCACGTGATCATACGGTCTTATTTGCAGTCAATGATGGCAGTTTTGTAATATATTAATACTTTGATGCCATCAGTTGATAGAAGTCCTTTCCTACGGCAGTTTTCTGTTAGAGTTGGAAAAAATCTTTTGCCCACGTAACTCTGTGATTAATTTCCCTTTGAACACAATCAGGGTAATCTTTTTTGAACCATGGTGACTAAGTGCTTCCTAGAGCCTTTAATCTTCCCTCTAATTAGAAATATTATGAAGTATATTAGTATTAAAATAAAATCAGAACCTGAAGTATTAAAGACAAAAAAAATCCACTTGCAGCACATCATTGTTTATGCTGAAGTTTTGCTCTTTGAGCAAGACTTTTTCTGAAGCAGCTTTTACAGAACATAAACAACATGCAGAGAATGCATGTGCTGTGCAAGGTGTTCAGAGTAATAAGTTCCCAGCTACAGTTCTGTTTGGCCCGTCTACTTGACCTATGCAGGGCTCCTACACATGGGTGCAGAGCTTGCTTGGACAAGCTGGAAATCCGGCACATCAGAGCAGACTTGATTAATTGAGCCTGCTGGAACATGGAAATTGAGGTACTTCAGCAGCCTCGCACGTCACCTGTATCAGTGTTGCTGTGTGTCTCCGTGCTGACAAAATGGTGGCAGTGCGCTCTGAAATAAACACACATTCAAAGAGCTTTAGTTCAAAGCGCCCCTCTAACACTAATTTGTTCAGTGCGAGGACGCATGGCAATGCTGATACATGCGATGCATGGGCACTTTTAATTAGCGGGCCTGGATAATAAAGGCATCCAGCACCGCATCCAGGAGTGTGTGTAAAAATGCCCAGAGTTACTGCAACAGACTACCTGGAAAACTTTAGCTGTTAAGCAGAGCCACGGTCTTATAGCTTGCCCACATTAATATAGGCAAGAAAATTAACTCACATGAGGCTAAAGAGATGAATTCAAAATGGATTAAAAGCTCATGAAACTTCTGTGTGGATACTCTCAGAAGTAAGTGTGACCATACAGAGAATTAATGCTATTTAATTAATCCACTTTAAAATTCACAGCTTCAGTTGCAGTGGGTTAATCTCCCCATGTATCCTCATAAAGACAATCCCTTAGTGCACATGCACATTTGATTCTCTTTGGCTCTAGTATTGATAGGCTGACCTTGGGTACTGGAATATCCCCCTACCAAGTTGAAAAGATTAACATATGGTATGCAACAGCTGAAATAAATCCCAAACAATCAAGATCAGTTTGAAGAGGCTAAGCTGGAGTCTCAGGTGTACATAAACAACACCTTTTAAGACCATTCCAACACTCATGCAGACTGAAGACTATTTCAAATAGTTATTCTTTAAATAGTAAGCAACATCAGGTCACAGCAGAACTCCCCTTCAGTCTTAAACACGGGACAGAGAACTGTCTTGAGGCGCCTTCTGTTAATCTTTTGCCATGGAAAAATGTACCCTTTTATATCTTCTTCTTTGCTTTATTTCCTAGGCAATTTTTGATCCAAGACAATGCTTTGCCCCTCATTCCTCAACTGTTTAGCTTCTCACATGGATTTCTACCACAGCCTTTTTGAATATGAACAAAATGTTAGCTTATTCTTCTTTATCCACTCATCTGATAAAAGTATTCCAAATTAAATATAAAACTATAGTACACAAGTGACACAGCAACCAACTAGCAAGAGACAAGGTCAAGAGCTTGTCCTCCTCTCCAGTTATGGATACACAAGAACAATTTTAGTAGACCTGTATGACAAAGTGAAAATTTCACAACTGTTTTAAGAAAACAAACCAAAGAACTGCAGAGCTTTACAGAAGGCTAAAAAATTTGTTTCACTCTATGCTTACGTAGTACTATGATAGCAAAATCTTATATCCCGTATGATCCTTAGAAAAATGCAGGACAGACTATTTGGAATTCATTCCTGTGTAGCAAATGTAACATTAGTTTTACCTGAACTTATTAAAATTCTTTGTTATTATTTGTTTTACACCTTTGAAGATGTCGCAACACGCAAGCCAAACTTTCATCAGTGCCCAAGTGAGGGCAGAGCTCCCAATGACATTCATTGAAAATTTATGCTCCTAAATTCCTAAGCCTTTATGGGAAGTCACAACACAAGAGATTTTTTTCCTTATCAAGCAGAGATATAGCATATAGCCTTCTGATATGAGCTCTGGCTCACAAATGACTATCTCCAGAAAAATCTATAAAAATGCAGATGTGCATGCAAATGTGCCAGCTCTGTGCAGCATGTGCAGCCACTCCAGTCCTATGTACCATATGTAGCATACAACAGTTCCAGGGCTTGCCACGTACATGGCCCCCGGGACCAGCACCGGGCATATGCTCCCTGAAGCATGCAGGCTGGGACCAGTGCTGTACACATTGTTAAGGGGGCCCGAGGTGTAGACTGTACCCCGAACTGATCCCCTATGTTCTCTGCAGGCTGGACCCAGTGCTGCAGTTGCTCCACAGGGGTCAGTCCCAGTCCAGCCTGCAGGCTGGCTCCAGAATGGAGTTCGATACCCCTCCCCTACGCCACTACTCACTAACTTCCAACCTGCAGTTCTCATCTTTTTTCATTTGAGTCCATGAAAGTTAGACAGTCTTTCTTTGAAAAAACATAAGGCATACTAACCAGAGCTCACAGAACTCAGTCAAATCTAGGAATGGAAGACAGGGCACAAAGTAAACTCACAAACATATGACAGAACAGTATTAACAAAGAACTTGTGGTTTTGTATTATGAGGATTAAGTTTACCGTACAAACTTTTCTAGGGACACATGTCAGTCAAGAACAGGATCTGACTGACAAAAGAAACCCCTTAGCAGAGATTAAAGCTATACTGGCAAGACTCCACTTTTGCCCATGCAGATTATTTTGCTAAAAGTGAGCTGGAAAAAGCCATATTGGAAAAAGTTTTTACCAGTAAAGGAGAAGCCCATACTAGAAATGCTCTCCTGGTGTAGTTATACTGGTACAGCTATGCCAGCAAGCTCAACCAAATGGCAGCTCATTTTAAGGTAAAGCATCTTGCCCTCAAAGCAGAGAAGGAGAGCAGAGGAAGGAGAAGAATCCCAGCCTGCAGCCTACTCTCCCCTGAGGAAAGACCAGCAACTTCTGTGGGCAGATCTGTGGCTCAAGAACTGGACTCATAAGTCACCTCAAGACCCATCCATGAGCTATGGTAGAGACCATCCTCAAAACGAGGGATTGCCAACAAGACTTACAGCTATGCCAGCAAACTCCCTTCCAACTCAGTTCCTGAAGACATGCAGTTTATTTTCTTTTAACCAACAAACTTTCTATTGTAACTAAAAGCAATTCCTCTAAATTAAAATAGTTTCTGAAGCAGAGCAAGTTACATTAGAAAAGAATTCTACCAGAATTACTGTATTATACTAGGGTTTCTGATGGCAACAGAAATCCTAGTCAGATCCCCTCCCCAGATGCTTCTAACCAACACAGAAGTATCACTGAAATATTTAAATGAAGACCTTGCTTCATGCTGAAGGAGCAGTCTCAGAGAATTAACAGTACTTTCAACTCCAGCTGAATAATTTGCCTAAAATAAGCAGCTCTGTGATTTCTCATGAGTCATTGCTGAGCTTCCTAGACCAGAGGTCAGCAGCCTATTGCCTTGTGGGCCAGTTTTAGCCTGCAAAGGGATTTTACCTGGCCCATGGCACCCGGACAATGGCAGCAGCAATTGGCTGCAAGGGGATTGGGCAGCACAGAAATCCATAGCACAGGGAATGATGCAGCAGCAGGGGAAGAAAAAAAAAAAAAAGAAAAAAAATCAGTTGCATTCAGGGTGTATCAATGATGACTGGATCACAGGCAGCATCCTGCTTTAGACCAAGCTCTGTTAATTTGTCCTATGGCTCCTTAAAGGTTGACAAGCCCCGTCTTAGACTTAATCATTCTTGAGTCGCAGAATTCCCTTTCTGTGAAAAAAACCCAAACCTTTAGTGCCTACTTACAGGACAGAGAGGTGCCTGTATATCTGGAAACGTTTTAAAGCCCCTAGTAGGACACCTTTTCAATTCAAGTGCCCTGCAGCTGGGTTCTCTCACACAACTGACTGTTCCCTCTAAAAGGGACAGACTACCCTGCTACAGGCAGTTTGTCACAAGTGACAAATCGACTAATATGGCAAAAAAGTAAAGTATAGGAATCTAGAGAGTATATGTTTTTCTTAAGTATTCTAGCCAACAAGATTAACTATATCAGTCTACCAGGACAAAACTTACCTTGGATTCTATTTTAAATAGCAGAACTTAACACACAAATTGCTCAATAGTTAGAAGCTTAAGTACCTTGCCATTAGTGATGTAGTTACAGTTAAGTTTGAGAAATTTTTCAGTAAACGCTTCTTCTTCTTCTGAGGTGGATGATACCACTCTTGCAGGACGAACAGATGCAAAAGCTGGTGAAGCAGCTGCCTCTTTCCGCTGCAGCGCATCTGGATCCTACAAAAAAAAAAAAAAAATGTATTTTCCAGGTGCAAAACAAAAATACTCGAATGCATGCAGTTTTATATGTGCAGTTGTAATCTTTCTAATTTCCTATTTTAATGCTGAGCAGTTGAAACTGTGGCTCCATACACCTTAAATATTGAAGGACAGCCAGACACTCAGCTGATGGAAATCATAGCTCCAGTTAATCAAAGCTTGACTACAGTGAAGCTCTCTCATGCAAGGGTTCTGTCCCATAATGATCAGGTAAAGGGAAACAGACAATATGGATACTTATAAACTAGATGCACAAAAACAAGTTGAAGTATTACATCATGCAAGAAGGAAACAGCCTGCAGGACTGTTTTCCATAACATCAAAAGCAGGTTTTAGTTGCCCTCAGTAACTCTTCTGCAAACTCAGTGAAGAAAGTGGAAGCTCACAGATGCAAATCAGACTTTCTATAAAGCCAGAAATGGAATAAAAATCCTGGATTGAGGCTGCAGTACTACCAGTTAGGAATGAAAGACACATTGTACATCTGATGCAAAAATCATTGGCAAACACCAACAGAACCTGACAATTAGCATTCTTTTAAAACTAGAAAGGAGGAGTGAAGACTCTGCTCCAATGCCTAAATTACTTTTAAAAGCAAGAAAAAAAAAAACCCTCCACACATGATTAGAAAATCTTCAATGTTTACAATCATCTCCTTATAAAAATAACTACTATTCATAATTACATTAAATAGCACAGGTTTGGGGGTTTTTGTGCTTTGAGACTTCCATCATTCCTTTCAATCTCTATTTTCCAGGTCTGTTCACCATTAAAATTACTACTAGTAATATGCTCTACAATCCAAGGGGTATTAACCAAGTATTTAGTCAGCAATTCATTTGGCCCATAGCCTTACTTCAGGGCTTTCTGACATTTCAGAAATTTAATAAAATAGGTTGTCTCTTATTTATTCACCTACCTTGCCCCCTTAAAATTAGCGATTGAAAGTTGGGGGGGGGTGCATCTTAAATGAGAGAAGAGATTCTGACTGATTTGGTTAAAGGGAAATTTTTTTATTCTGCGTTTCCAAGAGAGGATGCTGGTCTTATCTGGTGAGGGTGGGGTGGTATGCAAATAAATAAAGCATTTTAGCAAATTTCTAAGTAAAGGAAAGCTCTTAGCAGGTTTCCCAGGGCTTAAATCCTCTCTCTTTCTTCTTCCGAAAGTGTTACATAGGCTTGTGACAGTACATAAGCACATAAACAGGCACTATTTTGACCAGACTTTGTACTTCACTCAGAAGCAAGATATTAGACTATTTTAAAATATTTACTGATATTTCTAGGTGATGTTTTCCACAAGGCAGGCCACGCCTATGGTTTAATTACTAACATTGGTCAGATAGGACACTGTAGGAATTGAAAAAGGGAGAGAAACTGCAGAAATGTTGGCAGTAGATTTCTGTACTAATTCCCATTACGGATATTTCTGTTTCTTGAGGATTAGTTTAAGACTGATGCTTAATCAAGTGCATTTGAAATCTACCAACATAGTAGCTTTCCCACTTGGTTTTAAGCAGATAGTGATATCAGGAAGCACAAGATATTTATAACTGATTTTAAACACCAATCCAAGCTGCAGTTTGAGTTTTCTGATGTGACCAAGCTTATTGAAACTTCTCCTACAATGATTAATCAGACTTGTTGATCAGAACCCCACATACTTTGCATCTCTTTATACTCTGCCCTGGTTCTCATTGCCCAGTCCCACAGCAGATCTTCAGAACTGCGCTGGCATTCTAAAACTGGCCTGTAAGCTTTTTAACCCAAGTGTCACAAGATCCTTTAAAAGGGGGCCATGCAATATTAGCATTGGTAGGTGGACAGGCACCTACACAGGATTCACAAGATAAACCCAGAGATTTCAAATAGGAATCCACAGTGTCAAAAACTTGCTGACCTGTTGTGGGCTTTCTGAGTTCTTTGCAACAGAAGAATTTTTTTATTATAGTTCAGTAATCAAAAAAAAGTTTGAAAGTCAAGAGTAGGCATTTTCTGAGTGGTGCCTCAAGTCTAAGAAAGGGTGCCTTAAATCTAAAAAGGTTGATAACCACTGATCTAGGCTTACGGCTAGCATGCGCTACATAGAAGTCATACTTACATTGCTGGAAGTTACCATGGCTTCTAGCAAAGCTGACGGTCTTTGCTATAAACAAAGCGGATTTATTTACTGTAATGTTTAAGAATCATCCTACAAGGCACATGGCAATCCTTTATTTCCCTTTTGAAATGTTTCTTAAATTTTGAAAATAAACTTTCTGAAGAAAATATATACTTTTAATTCATTCTCGTCTTCCTTGATAATCCCAACTTTAAACCATGTGATACACTTAATATAGAGATATACCCAGTTTCCACCAAACCCTAGAGATTACTATTTTACTCTCATGTCTGGAATGTGAACAAAATAACCTCTGAACAATAGAACAGAACAACAAGGTTTTCCTTTTTACCATATCCAGAATATATAGTACATTCACAGACTGACAGGTCTATTCCCAACATTTTGATTTCCCTTCCACTTGAGCAATTTATTTCTCAGTGTGCCTGCTATATCCATACTTATATTCTAATAGTTATTCCTAGAAGGAATGAAGAAAGAGATAGGAACATTTTTCTTTACACTTGTTCCTTCATTTTACAATGAGGCAGAAAACTCAGTTTCAGGTCAGAACTTTGTTTAAAACATTATCAGCACGGGTGTAACTGACTGGAGAAATAGAAAAATAAAGCTGGGGAGGAGGGAAGGAGGGCAGAGAATTTGTTATGTGGGAAGATGATGTTGGAGAGAGTCCAGCAGAGGACAACGAAAATGGTTAGGGGCACGGGACACGATTTCTGAGGAGAGGCTGAGGGAACTGCATTTATTTAGTCTGCAGAAGAAAAGACTTGGTGCGATTTGATATCAGCCTTCAGCTACCTGAAGGGTGGCTGCAAAGAGGATGAAGCCAGACTGTTTTTAGTGGTGACAGATGCCAGAACAAGGAGCAATGGTCTCAAGTTGCAGTGAGGGAGGTTTAGGTTGGATATTAGGAAAACTCTCTCACTAGGGCTAGGGACAGACATTACACGTAAATCCGTTTAAGTGATCGGAAACTGGTTTAAACCTGTAACACAACCGATGCTCAGTGCACATAAACCAGTTTAAGAATGGCTGAAACCGTTTTGAGATAAACCTGGTTGAATGTAGTATCCTACTTAACTGATTCGACTCGGAGCAGTTTATGCAATGTCTGTCCCAGCCACCTTGCTGGTTTAAGACAAAACCAGACTCGCCTAGCATCCCAGCATGCTCTCTGCTCCTCAGCAGGGCTGGCCCCTCCCCTCTGCTCCCTGGCTGCAGCTCCTCTTCCTCCCCCTCACCACTCCCTGCTAAATAGGATTTCCCCCCTCCCCTTTGCCTTGCTGAGGGTGTATTAGCTAGCACAGGGGTTTTCAACCTTTTTTAACAAGAGTATGCCTTTGGTCTCAAAGTTTCAGCTGATGTACCCCTTATAGTTTTTTCTTGTTTTTAATGTCATTGGGGGCAGATTGAGATCCCTGTGGTGAGGGAGGGAATGGGGCTGGGGCAGGTGCTGCATAGGTGGAGGGAAAAAAAAATTAGTGGGGGGGTGGGGGTGAGCACACACGTGGGACCACTGGAGTCCAGTGGCTAATCCATGGGTGTGGGAGCCAAGG